GCTATCTTGTTAAAATATTTTATATATCTTGTTAAAAGTTTTTTTAAATAACACTTTTAATGTTGTTGTAGAAAGTTTTGGAACTTCTGCCAAAAAGTATAAACAGTGTACAGTGGGCCAGAATTGTCTAAATATGGAAAAACTATGGGTTGTATAGTTAATTAAATAAATAAAAATCAAATATAGGTAATTGCGCTCAGGGAATTTGAATCAGGGCTTATTTGGTCTAGGATAGTCCTGGGATGTTCTAATAGTTTTTTAATTAGATGAAACAGTTGTTTGTCTAGTTATAGGTAATTGAGGTTGGGGCATTTATATCTGGTCATGTTTTTTCTCCCAGGGTGGTTATGATCGCACATGTAGGCGTGGTCATGGGTTTTGAAGACAGTATTTTTGTGATTTTTATTTATTCTATGTACTTAATTTTTTCGTTATTGTGAATACAAACATATAATGCTCAATAAAATTGAACTTTATTAACATATTTTATTCATATATATATATAAGAATCTAGGTGATGATATATACCATACATTAGTACATCAAGACCTTCTTGGCCTTCTCAGGTTGATTGGAGCCTTTGACTTATCTCTGACTTTTTGGACTGAAAATGCTGCAAAGCATTTTCATCAAAAAATTTGCTTAGGTATGTATGAAATGACTATTTTTCACAAATAATGTTTAATGTACTGTTTTTCCCAATATTTGGGTGTTATTTAAATAAACAAAACAAATTTGACCCATTTAAAGTACAATTTTCTATATGAAAACGACATTGTAAAAAAGCTATTTAGACAACATTAAACAAAAAATGCTAGATAATGTAGTTTTCTTGAAAAGAAATTAAAAATCCTTTTTCCTCATAAACAAACTAATTTCTCTTTACTAAACTAAACTCTTCTTTTTAAATAAATAAAAACTTTTTGCATACATAAATACAAATAATAAATCTTCTATTCCATAAACATCAATTTTACACATGTTCCAGGCTTGGTCAGGAAGCGGGAGCGGTCACTCTCAATTGCTGATCTCGGCAATAATATTTAGTTGCGAAAAGCTGGCCATATTTTTTAGTCGTTTTGAGAACATTTCAAAAAGCGAAAAAAAATTGCGCTAAAGATTAATTGGACTGATGAGAGACAATTACAAAAAAAAAAACTACAAAAAAAAAAAATCTTTTAATGCGAAAAACTTCAAGCAAAATGAATTACATTTAGAACAAATATTTTCGAAACATCGCTCTTTCATAATTTTTTTATAAAATTAACCGACGTTTTTTATATTGAATAACATCTTACGTTTGTTTAAAAAGGAAACAAATGTCCTATATTAAACAAAGTTTGCAAGTTTTGGTTTTATTTAAGCTAAATTATTTTATAAATAAAAAGTTTTTTTTTTTTTTACCTATTTTGTTTCGCGTAGTTTGAAAAGTTTAACATATTTGAAGCAATTTTTCTTAGTAAGATAAACAAATGAAATAATTATATCATTGAATTACTATAGAAATTAAATTACCTAGATAGAAATCAACTTAAAAAGGTTAAAAATACTATATGACGAGGAAGCAAAACTGCTTCACAATATCGCTGATGATGTTTAGTGAGTGGGCTTTTTAATTTTAATTAGTATTTAAAACAGAAAAAAGTATAACGAGTTTTTAAGAATGGCAACTGAAGCAAAAATAATTAGAGTTAGTAAACCAATATCTAGAAACTTTACTTTATATCTAATAATTTGCTATATATATTTGTGTTCTGTCGTGACCTTAGACCTGGTGCTTGTTCATTCGACAGTTACTTTGTATGCGTTATTTGTGTTTAGTAACCAGAAACTTCTTATATATTTACAACATAATTAGTTTTATTAACTTTAATGATTATTAACTTCATTAAAAACACAGTTATTTTTGCAAGTCTTTGTTTACAAATTAAATTATAAAAATTGCTTTAAAAGATTTCATTACGATAAAACAGGGTTGCCACTGTTATTTAGGAACAAAATTCCCTAATTTTCCCTGATTTTTTTGCCAAAAATTTGCTTTTTTCTCCCTGAGTTTCCCTAATTTTTTGCTAAATTTTTTTTTTTTTTCCCCTGATTTTTCCCCTTGAAATTTGCTTGATATTTCCAGCATTTAAATGCCCAAACTTAGCATTAAAACTTCCCTATTAACCCCAGAGCATTTTTACCTCTAAAAAAACAGATGCTATAATCCCTTATAAGTAATTAACCAATCAATTTGCTTAAAAATTAAAATAAATAATCAAATACTTCAATCAACATATGAAATTTTTCTTCGAACCAGGGTATATTTAAAATGGATATGTTCAACAGGCATTGAAAACCTGTCAGACTTATCTAGGATACAAGATAACCAAATTCAAAAAAATGAAATGAATGTAATAAATTTCTAACTGTATGTTTTACATACATCGTTTAATACTTTTTTCTTTTCTTCCTAATATTCCCTGATCTAAAAGCATTATCATGCTATTTTCTTTTGCTTGGAGTATTCTATTTTCCTCCAAAAACTTTTGACAAAACCTTATAATCTACACCAACTTTATTCATTTCAAAATAAAAGTAGATGAACTTTCCTCTAACAACTTTAAAAAATGTATGAAAGCTTGATCACATTCATTTGAAGTAATATGTGAGCAAGAAAGAACTAGATGTAGTACAGATTTCATCTGATGAAAAAGATCAGCTTTTTGTTTAGAAAGATTTGACACTGGATTGATGCAAGCAGTTGCTTCCAGAAAAGAAAATTGATTCAAACTTCTTTCTTTATTTTTTCCAGAATTCCAAAGATAATGAGACAGCAATCTTTTATGAATCTATGATGACATACTGAGATAATGCATCCTTTTTCCTCAATTTGATAATGTCATGTTCTGCAGCAAATCCTATTATCATTAATTTAAATAGCAGAAAGTTTTCCTTTTTTGTAAAATCATATTATTGAAGTTTCCTGCCATTAACAATGCTAAGGACATCTTGTTTTATAATTAAACCCATTAAACTTTTAACAGTTGAGAACAAATCTTCAAAAAGAAAGGGAATCATTTGGGCATTGGTTTGATACCTCAGTAAGATTTTCTGCAAAAAACTTGCAATGTAACCAAAAAACTTCAATTTAGTCAGAATTAACTTATCTTTTGTTCCCTCGAACCAGAGTTGTTAGTCCTTGACCTGAAGATTTTGGTCTTGGCATTGATTGTTTTGGCCTTAACCATAAACTCTTGGCCTTACCCTTGTAACTTTTAGCCTTGATCTTGGCCTTGGACTTAAACTTTTTGGTCTACAACCTAGCCTGTAGAGCAAAATGCACAAGGAAAACTCTCACATTTAGTAACAGTTACATAATCAGCTCTTCTAGCTGAAGAATCATAAAAAAGGTTGTATGACGCTTTCATCAACTTCTTTATATTCCATTCAGCAGATTGAAAACCCGATTTGAAACCATGTATTAGATGAAGGTTACAGCTTCCAACGTTAAGAAGTTTAGGTAGCTCTTGTTAATCATGCTGCAATTCAAGAAGATTAAGAAGGGAACAGTTCACATTTGTACCTTCCATACTTAGTTGAGTCATACTTTTAAGTAAATTCTTTGCTGTGGGGTAACCTAAAAATTTAGAGTCAAAGTATCTGGATTCAACACAATTTAAATTGCTGCTCTAAAACTGGATATTTAGGTCCAATTGGACATTTTTGCCTATTATCAGCCATTTTTCAAACAAAGGATCAATTAACCATTTTTCTTTGAATTATGTTGCAAACATTAAACTAATGTAAACACATATGATTAATTTTCTTTAAAAATGTTAAAGATTAACCCTGGTACCCTTAAAAAGGAAGATTTTTATTAGAAAAAATTTAAAAACATTAAAGAAAAATTAAAAAGTTCCCTGATTTTCCCTGATTTTTTCCTTATTTACCATATTTATTATAATTGAAAAAAAATTTAATCTGCCTATTTAATATTTCAAACTTTAATTTTTGAAGAAAATACACTAGTTATGCTGGAGCTTTTACAAACTTTAAAAAATTTTTAAAAAATTTATTACTGAAAAATCAGCACAAATTTATGACATTATTCTTTGATCACTCCTTGTAACATTAAAATAAAAAGAAAATATTTGAATAATAAAAGAATTTTTAAATTTTATTTTTTAAGAAAGAATTTTAAAAAAATCTTAAAGAAAATTTAATTTGATAGAATGTTACTTTATTTATTTATTTTATTCAATTCTAGGGTGTAAATGTTTTTTAGTTTAAGCTGGAATATGAAAAGATTAGAAAAAATAAAAAACAGCAACCAACATGTCAATCAACTTGTAAATCAGAAACAGAAAAATATTAGAATAAAATAAATCCACTAATCTCAAAATTGCCATAGTGTTTAAATTCATTTTCTTTACCAGCAGATTTGACAAGTAAAAACCAGTACAGGAGAGAAAGAAAAAAAAATTAAATAAAAAAAAAAGTCAGTCACATCCAAAAAAATTTAAGCAATTCCAAAAGTAGTTTGCAGTAATGTTACAAATTACAATCTCAAAAGGAGAAAAAAAAGCAAAGGAACTCGTAATCGAAAAATGCAAAAACAATTGTAAACTCACAACGCCATTGCAAATTTTTGCTAAAAAAGAAACTGACGATAAAGTGAAACTTTATTTACATAATGACATCATTTTAAATCCTAAATTTGCATATTTGCAAAGAAACATGTTTGTCTATTAGTTATGAACTTTTTTTCTGTCAAATTTTAAAATTATTTAATATGTTTTTTACATTAGTTTTTTCAAGAGATTTTTTCAAATTTTTAGTACTTAAGTGTTTTCATACTTTTTCAACAAAAAAGACTAAAAAAAAATTAAGTTATTTGGTTTTTGTTGTTCAGAAATCTGAAAGCATTAGTTGATTTTTATTAAGTGAGCTTAATACACTTAATAATAAGTGTAAATAAAAATAATAAGTGTGCATGTGTAACTAAAAAATCATACTAATAGCTTCCTTGATAAGTTCAGCACAATAACGACCTTCAAGCGTATTACTCTCTTTTGCAAGATCAAGTGCTGTTTTAGATTTACTATTTTTCAAATCAAAGTTTATTTCATACTCAAGTAACGCAGCTACACATTTAGGTTTTCCATTAGCAACTGCATGATGAAGTGGTGTCTATAAAGTATAAAAACCAATTTCAAACAATATTTATAAATTATAATTTAAACATTTAAAATAAAATAGTCAAACTAATAAATTTGATACTAAAATTGAAAAAATATCTTTAAAATCTGTTGCTATTCTTTATTAGAATAATAAAAAAGATGTTCAGACTTATATACATGTAACAGGTTTCGGTGTTGTTACTAAATTAAAACCACTTATGTTTTTTTTTTTGCTCTTTTGTTAATTTTTTAGAATTTTTAAATTAGTAGCACTAGTTTTAAAACATTGACTCAGCTACTAAAATCTACTAAAATTTTAAAACATTGACTCAGCTACTAAATCCTTTTTACTATTAATAGCCAGGGATGTGGAGTCCCAAAAAGGACTCCACATCCCTGGTTTTTAATAGTAAAATGGATTTGAAAGTCACAAAAAGATTACTTCTTTATAGTTTTTGGTATCCAGGGGCTTTAAAAATATAAAAAACCTTATGGGCTACTAATGGGGGAAAATCAAGACTTAGAGGTCAGAAGAAAAATCAATTTTTGAACAGAGAGTCCATAGGTATAATGGCAGCAAGGACTTCAGGACTCCTGGACTCCAGACTTAAAACCAAAAATTGAATATAATAACTTACTTTCTGATCAATAATTTCCAACTCATTAAAAAGCATAAATGTTTTTCTTATAGCAGATCATTAATCAACCAACATATTTAGAGCTTCTGGACACCAGAGATCATAAAAAAACGAAAATATAAAACCGGAGTGCTTTTGGGACTCTGCATCCTTGTTAATAACAATATCTACTTTAGATAATAACATCACCCCTGATTTTTATCACCTCACCTAAAGACGAAGGTAAATTGTTTGTAATTGGTTTTATTTTGCATTAGATAGATGCAGAGAGGCTAAATTATTGCTCTCAACATTTCTAAAGCTTTTGATAAAATTTGGCATGCTGGTCTTCTCCATAAGCTTTCTTCTTATGGTGTATAAGGTAACATCTTTAAGATTTTTGAATCCTTTCTTACCAGTTGCAGTATAAAAGTTGTCTTCGATAGACAGCGCTTCCTTCATATCCTGTAACTTTAGAGGTTCCTCAAGGTTTTATCCGAGGCCCTATACTCTTTTTAGTTTACATTGATAATGTTTCAGAAATTCTAACAACTAAAGTTGCATTGTTTGCTGATGATAATACCACTTATTCTTGTCTTGATAAGAAGCCAACAGTCTCTGATTGCTTGGAGCATCTTTGGGCATCTTTCATGGAAATCATATATCAAACCAATTGTTCTTGTATAGAATACTGTTGTCATATCTGAGGCGAATCTTCTAATGATGCCCTTTTTCTTCTAGATAGGGTGCAAAAATACATAGTAAACATACTTGGACCTGCTCTGGCAGCCAGCCTCCAGTCATTATCACATTGCAGGCTTGGTCGGGAAGCGAGAGGGATCACTCTCGATTGCTGACCATGAAAATAATATTTAGTTGCGAAAAGCTGGCCAGATTTTTTAGGCGTTTTGAGAACATTTCAAAAAGCAAAAAAAAATGCGCCAAAGATTAATTGGACCGATGAGAGACAATTACAAAAAAAAAAATTAGAAAAATATCTTTTAACGCGAAAAAACTTAAAGCAAAATAAATTACGTTTAAAACAAATATTTTCGAAAGATCGCTCTTTTATGATTTTTTTATAAAATTAAGCAATGTTTTTTATATAAAGTAACATCTTACAATTGTTTAAAAAGAAAACAAATGTTCTTTATTTAACAAAGTTTGCAAGTTTTGGTTTTATTTAAGCAAAATTATTTTATAAATAAAAAAGTTAATTTTTTTATTACCTATTTTATGTTTCACGTAGTTTGAAAAGTTATACATATTTGAAGCAATTCTTCTTAGTAAGATAAACAAATGAAATAATTATATCATTGAAAAACTATAGAAATTAAATTACCTAGATAGTAATCAACTTAAAAAGGTTAAAAATACTTAGTATTTAAAGCAGAAAAAAGTATAACAAGTTTTCAAAAATAACAATTTAAGCAAAAACAATTAGAGTTAGTAAACCAATATCTTTTCTTTAAATCTAATAACTTGCTATATATTTAAATCTAATAACTTGCTATATAATTCTTCTTAGTAAGATAAACAAATGAAATAATTATATCATTGAATTACTATAGAAATTAAATTACCTAGATAGAAATCAACTTAAAAAGGTTAAAAATACTTAGTATTTAAAGCAGAAAAAAGTATAACAAGTTTTCAAAAATAACAAATTAAGCAAAAACAATTAGAGTTAGTAAACCAATATCTTTTCTTTAAATCTAATAACTTGCTATATATATTTGTGTTCTTCCGTGACCTCAGGCACGGTGCTTGTTCATCCGCAAGTTACTTTGTATGCATTGTTTGTGTTTAGTAACCAGAAACTTCTTATATATTTATTACATAATTAGTTTCATTAACTTTAACGATTATTATTAACTTCATTAAAAACACAATTATTTTTGTAAGTCTTTGTTTACAAATTAAATCATAAAAACTGCTTTAATAGATTTCATTACAATAAAAAACAGATACACAAAATTACATTTACAAAAAAAATACATAATTTTTAAATAAAATAACTAATAAAATTTATAATTTATAATAAACTTTCAAAATTTTGACAATTTAAATAAAATATGTTTAAAACATTTATTTTTGTAAACAAATAATAGTTTATAAGATTTACGGCTCTGCAGATTTACGGATGTGACTCCGAGATGAGAGTGGTGGAGATGTTGTGACTGGTGTGTGCAAATGTAAGATGTGGCGGCTCCGAGAATGAATAAAAAATTCTTAATTTTTCCATTAAACTATGATCTTCCCAAAAGAGTTAGTAAATTTATAAAAAATGTTTAGTATGGTGATATTATCCTATAATATCGAATTATTGAATTTAATGTTTTTACTCCTGATACTGCTGATGTTACTCATTTGTGTGTGGTTCCACAGAACTCATGGCAGCCATTACACTCAAAGTAAGAGTCGCAATATTTTCTGCATAAGAAAAAATAAACAAAAGAATATGCAAATATCTAAATTACGTAAACTTTAAATTATGTAAAGTTGAAATATATAAAAAGTTTTACAGTTTTACTTTTACTTAATTATCGCATTGCAGCGACATCTCTTAATTTTGATTTAAAGCATTTATTTGCTGTTTTATAAAGTCTTTTGTTTATTAAATAATTTTAAAAAATTTGTTAAACAATATGCCTTAGTGGTAAAATTGGTTAGCTCACAGCATTTTTAAGTAAAATGCATTCAAACCTTTGCCTTTCCATGTTTTTCTGTTGTTGTTTTTTCATCTTTTTCGGTTTTTAAAAACATCAAGTTAATTGGTATGGATAATCATCAGTTATTTCAAACTTGCCCTACTAACTCAGGATTAAGAAAAAAAAATATTTTGCCTGGTTTTATTTATTATTACTTTTTTACTTTGAAACATCTTCACTTCCAACAAGTCTGCAAGCAACCACTAATTAGATTTGGAAGTTACTGGAAGAGAAAAGATAAAGATTGTAGAGCAAGATAACGATTGACAGACGACTTAAAAGTTTGCAAATTATATAAATCAGGAAAGCAAGATGAAGGAAGCAAATTCCAAAGAACTGATGTTTTAGGAAAAAAACTAGACAAATAAGAGTTTTTAGAACATTTAGAAACAGTCACAGAAAAAAGATTAGACTTAATTGAATGATTAGTAACACGAGAATAAATTTTAGTAGATGACGCAAGAGACGCTAACTCTTTAGAGCAGTGCAGACTATAGTATTTGTAGAAAAGAGAAAGAGAAGCAAGATTACGACAATGAAGATTGGCTGCAAGAGCAGGTGCAACTATGTTTGCAATGCATTTTTGCGCCATGCCTAAAAGAGAAGATATGCTAATGGTATTTCATACAAGGACAGATTTGAGATTTATAGAGATAGAGAATCTGGAGTAAAAATGTGTTGAGCTCGATAAAGAGATGCAACCTTAGCAGATGCTAATTTTGCAACTGATTTGATACATGGTTTCAAAAAAAAAGATCAGAAGTAAGAGTTAATCCTAGAAGATGAAGGGAAGATGACTCATCAAGTACATTATTTTTCATAAATATAGGAAGATCTAAATTATTGCAATAACAATTAGCTATGAAAATATTGAGTTTTATCTGAATTAAAATTCACCAGCCACTGTGAGCCCCATGTTGTAGCAGAAGTGAGATCCTTTTCAAGCTCAAATGCCCCCTCCAAACAATCAGAGACTGTTAGCTTCTTATCATGACAAGAATAAATGGTAGTATCATCAGCAAACAATTCCACTTTAATAAAAATTAAAAAGAGTATAGGGGCAAGGATTGAAGTTGAGGAACCCCTGAAGAAACAGGATATGAAAAGAGTGCTACCGGTCAAGGACAACTTTTATACTACGATTGGAAAGGAAGGATTCAATAATCTTAAAGATATTACCAGATATACCATAAGAAAAAGCTTATGGAGACAAACACCATACGAAACTTAATCAAAAGCTTTAGAAATGTCAAGAGTCCTTAAGCTCTCCACCTTTATCTAATGCACAATAAAACTTATTGGTTATTACGGTTAGTAAATCAGCTGTATAACAAGAAGATTGAAATCCATATTGATGATCAGAAAATAAGTTATTAAATTCAAGATAAGAGATTAAGCGTTTATTAATTAAAGATTCAAAAACCTTGCTTATGATAGGAAAAAGACTAATGGGAGGTTAGTTAGACGAATCAGATTGCTCCCCAGACTTTTTAAAAATAGGGATAACAGATGGAAAACAAGACTCTAGTATAGATGACAGCTCTGGAGAACATTTCTGCAAGACTATAACAGGTATGTAGTCCGATTACAAGTTGTAGAAGACTCTAAGCATAAAATCACTTTTGATGGACCAACCTGTTTGACGGCTTTATCAGGTACAATCCAACTAGTGAAATCAAGAGATGATATTGATGAAAAGTTCTTGGCAAACAATTCAGCTTTGTCTTTAGGTGAGGTGACAAAGTCTGAACCATACAAGAGAGGTGGAATTACAGATTTGCCCGTTATTATTGATACTATTAAAGATTCTCCAGAAGTCACGAGAGCCTAATTTTTGGGACGAAATACAAGATTTCATGACCTGAGAATACTGGCTTTAATGTTAAACAAAACTTTTTACAATGGTTGCTAGCAGTAATAAACAGACGTCTGTTTTCTGGAGAATTGTTTTGCTGATAGATATGCAAGTAACAGTTTTGATTGGAAATTGCAACAGCACAATGTGAGGAAATCCATGGAAAAGAGTGAGGTTTGACCTGGAACCGGAAATAAGAGGAAATAAAAGATTCCATGCCAGAATGAATCTACGAAGTTATGAAAGAAGCACATTTGTAAACAGGAAGATAAAAGATTTCAACCTAAGGGTCATCACAAAGAATATCATGGAAAGAGTAACAGTCAGCTTTAAGGTAAGAGGTACAATGATAGGGGGATTTAGATAATGAAGAAGAATGAGATAATAGTCTTAGAGAGATCAGACTGTGATCAGAAGCACCTGAAGGTGAATGTGGAGAAACTGAGCAGTGACTAGGATCAGAAACAAGTCAAGTAGAGAAGATAAATGATTCTGGTTGTCTGGAAAACAAGTTGGAAAGTTTACTATTTGAGTTAGGTATTGAGAAAGGCAAAAGTGGTGGGCTTTAATGCTTCCAGATTCACTGAAACTAGAGCCAAGCCATTCTGTGTCATGAGCATTAAAGTCACCAACAACAACAATATTGGCTGATGGATAAAGAGAGAGGGCTCGGTCAACTTGATCAGAAACAACATCAAAAAGAATGCAGTCTTGAGATGAAGGAGAGCGATATAGAACAAAGAGAAAGGTGATAAAATAAAGTGGTGCTAAATGAAAGCACATAAAAGAATAGTCAGTGGATTCAAACCTAGTTTTCCTGACAAATGAATGAATTCTTACAAATGTAAATGCTCAGGCCAAGCATGTCACTATTGGAGTCTTTAGGCCGAGAAGGCCGCTACAGACAAGGAGGCTACTTATTTGTGGTTATAACCCTCTTTTAACTCTATAACTTTGAAACCCTGACTAACAAGGCTGCTGTGCGGAGAAACAAGTTGAGCGTGGTACTTCCAGGGATGTGATGGGATTGAACTCGGAACCTCTCGCTTATGAAGGAAGCGATCTACACTAAGATCACAAGATGAGACAGCTGAACTCAAATTAGTCTCACAAAGAGCAGGTCTGGTGAACTTTCCAAGAAATAAGACTCAACTGAAGAAAAGTTACTTCGAAGACTACGAATATTAGTGAATGATTTAGAGAACTTGGTGATGACAATAGTTTTTTGTGTTTTATAGTTTTGGGTACTAATAGTATCCCTCTCTTTAATAAAAGTTGTTATATCATCATAATAGTATCCCTCTCTTTAATAAAAGTTGTTATATATATATGCGGTAGTGGTGTAGTGGTAAGAGCGCTCGCTTTGTAAGCGAGAGGTTCGGAGTTCGACTCCCACCAAATCCCTGGAAGTACCGCGCTCAACTTAATTTCTCCACGCAGTGGTCTTGTTTGTCAAGGTTCGTGTTTCGGAGTTAAAGAGTTGAGAGAGGATTGTACCACGATTTACAAAAAAAAAAAAAAAATGAGTAGCCTCCTCGACTGTAGTGGCCCTACTGTAGTGACTGTAGTGACTGTAGTGTATGACATACCATGACCATGGTATGTCTGATCCACATTACCATGAGTCATGGTACCTCATTACCATGAGTCATGGTAAGTTCATTGTTCTACATATTTTTGAAATCTTTGGGTTAAAATCTTTCATCTTCCTGCTGAAAAATATTTTTTTTATTTAGCTTCTTAGATTCAGGCTGACATGGATCTTTTATTCTCTCTCAATGATTCCAAATAAAGCCTCACTCTTCTCCATGGTTTTCCTCTCATTGTGCTAGTGCAATTTTCAATCATAACCATTACTTCCATATCTATCACTAAAACAATTCTCCAGAATAGAAGACTGTTTACCTTTGCTAGAAACCATTGTAAAAAGGTTTTGTCTACTGCAAAAGTCAGCTATTCTCAGGTCACAAAATCTCGTATTTTATCTCAAAAATTAGGCTCCAGATGCTTCTAGAGAATCTTTAACAGTGTCTATAATAAAGGCAAATCTGTTTTTTCTCTCTTGCATGGTTCATATTTTGTTACCTCACCTTAAGACTAGGGTAAATTGTTTGCTAAGAATTTTTCATAAATCTTATTTTTTTTTTTTTAGATGCAAACATTTTTAACAATTTAAAAAAATTTTTACAGTTACAAATATTATATAAATATAAAATATTATATAAATATTGTTATTTTTATTAAAAAAATATTAAATATCTTTTTTGGCAATTGAGTATCTTTTTAAAAATATAAAAAACATACCGAACAATGATCTCCAATGGAAGACCATGCATTTGGATTAGCTATAAATAAATGAAACCCATAAATATGGAAAAATTAAATTTAAACAAAAAATAGTAACCAGTTGACATTTATAATATACATTATTACTTATAGATATAAATAAACATAGAAAATTTTAATGCAGAGAATTATTGTAAAACTGTTAGGAAATTTGTTAATTGTATTATAAAAACAAAATAGTAACTAAAAAATTAATTAAAAACTACCATGGACACTCATAAAAACTTAAAAATTTAGAAATAATACTTGTTCGCAAGGATTAAAAGATTTTCCTTTAACAAAATTAATTGTATTTACAATGAAACACTTTAAGGGTTGTATATACATCATACTAAGTTAGTACTTTTCACTAAAACCAGAATCTCTTATTCAGAAAGCAAACCAATATCTATATTGTTTTCTTTATCTAGGTAGTATGACAACAACAAAAATACAGTAACCAAAAAAAATACAACAAAAAAAAATTTTAATTAGGATTAGTTGATTTTATATACTTTTATATATTATATTGGTAATAAATGTATGTTTCAATAAACTTTTGTATCTACATACTTAGCAGTGAATTAAATTTGAAATAAAAATTTAAAAAAATTTTATGGTATTAATTTTAGAAAATTTTATTTAGTTTTATATGTTTATTGTCTAATCAGCTAGAGATGACACAATTTTTTTGCCTCTTTAAATAATATTTAATTCTATATGCCAATTTTTGATGGAATTACAAGCTTATGTTAAGTTAATGGTTTAAGCTTTGGTTTGAACTTACTTTACTCATTAAAATTAACTTCTGAGTGAAGAAAAGATGTAAAAATTTCATAAACTTTAAAATGATTATAATTAGTACAAGTAATTTCAAGATAAGCATGCACATAAAGAAGCATTAAAAATATATATTTGTTCAAAAATATAAAAAAATTGTTTTAAAACCTATATTTATTAATTTAAAAATTGTTTCCAAAAATGTATAACATATTTTTAATATTGTGGAACAAAAATGTACACTTACCAGGTTAACATTTCATTCGTTTACCAAAAAAAAAAAACCTCTGCACAGAGATTATTCAAATGAATATATATATATATATATATATATATATATATATATATATATATATATATATATATATATATATATATATATATACATATATATAATCTTTAAAAGTCATTTTCTTGTTATATTCTTGTTATTATTCTTGTTAAGAGCTTTTCTTTCTATATTCTGTAGAAACGCTTCCGCCATAACAAGAACAAGAACAATCTAATTAATATCGCCAGAAACTTTCTAAAAAACGAATTAAAAAATACCAATTATAAACCAACTGACAATCAACCATTTATAAAACTACCATGGATACCAATCGTTGGTCCCAAACTTAGAAAGGAACTTAGAAAACAAAACATAAAAGTTATATTTACATCCGCTCCAAATTTAAACAATATTTTATGCAACAATAAGACAAAACTTCCTCCAAATACAAACCCAGGCGTCTACCAACTAAAATGTTCATGCAATTCTATATACATTGGAGAAACTTAGAAGAAAGTTATATCGAGATGTATTGAACACCAGAAAAATAGTGTTAAAGGAAAATGGGCCAGTTCAGGTGCTACCGAACATTCCAAATCATCCCAGGGTACATTTGATTAGTTACATCCCAAAACCATATCAATCGCTCCAGAGTATCATATTCGGAAAATTCGAGAGTCACTCGAAGTAAACAGAGCTAAAGTTCGACAAAAACTTGGAAGTGATGAAAAAATTTTAAATAGGGATGATGGTGATTACGTGACGACAAAAACTTGGGGGTCATTTTTTGTTAGATTATTCGACGTCAACATTTAAAGCTATTTTGTATTTTGTTATGCTCTTTTTAATGTTATCTTTTTAACGGTTAGTTTTTATTACAACAATTTTCTTTGTAACAATTTTTATTTATTACACCTGATGACGCTGATCACATTAGATCAGCGAAATATCGAAAAAAATATATATATTAAAATAAAAACAAATTTATATTTTTAAAAAGTTTATACGCAGCTGTTTTTATTAAATTTTACATATTTTATACATATATATATATATACAACAGAAACAGAATAAACTCTGTTTTATAAAAATCTAATAAGTAAAATAACTAACCTCCTTTTTTCAATAACAGTTTAACACAATCCACCTTTCCGTGTTTTGCAGCAACATGAAGTATAGTTCGTCCTTCTTTATCAATTGAATTTATATTACCGTTTGTACCATCAATGAGTGCTTTTTCTAATAAATCAACTTGATTATTCTGTGCAAAGATATGTAAAATTTCACCGTCAAAACTAGTTATAAAACCAAGATTTTTTTCCATGTTTAGCTAAAAAAGATATGTATAATATTAACATGACTTTATAATACATTATTATTAGTCAATAACATCATAAGTCTTTTTTATCTACAGACAAATCCAGTATTGATAAAGAAAGGTTTTGTAAAAAAACTTATTCTTTTAAATATATAAAGTATATAAGTTTTTTATTCAAATAAAATAAAAATAAAAAAAATTCTGCATAAGTATTTTATTTTATTTTTAATGGATTTCGTAAGTTTTTCTAAATTTTTGCATTTGCTAAAATATAAATCTTTACATTTACTTTTATCACTTTCTTATTTTTTAAAAAGACTTCATAACATTGTGTTATGTTTCTTCATAACATTGTATTAGATTTTCAATTTTGATTATCGCACAAACTTGATGTATTTTTCTCAGGTGTCATATTTAACTGTTTATAAATTAAAAGAGAACTATTTCTCCCAATATTAAAATTTGCTACAGCATCGTATGTTCCAAATTTTAACTGTGTTAAGCTGACATACTTTGTTTTTAGGATTGGATCCCAAATCATTGCATTTAGACTTTTGTTATAATTTTGTGTCTGCCCATGTAAACATTTACGTAACAAAGACTCCTCACTCAAATCTGCGTATATTGGTTTTAAATGTTCTATAATTGATAGTGGAAGTCCTGCACCTGGTTTTTACGTTGATTTGCCTGTTGCTTTATCTTTCTGATATCTGAACCAACTGTTTTCACCAATTAGACAGTGAGTGTGCCAGTTATTTTTCTTTGATGAGGCAACATGAAAAAGTCTAGCATGAATGGATTTCTTGATAGATTGTTTCTTATTACTTTTTACCGCAATCCCATAATAATTCTGAAGCTTATCAATAAGTGTTTGTTAACTTTCCACAACTACAGGTTTTTCATGTTGTTTTTTTTATAATGTTCTTAGATATGTCCCAGCTCATTTTTGAACATTCCCAACACATTCTAACTTTTCAACTTCAACACCAGGATAAGTAAATTTCACAGCTAGATAACTTTTACTGTCACCATCTCCATAAAATTTAATATACTTCAATCTGTATTCATTGACACATATACAAAATAAGCGTTTGGCACCAGTCACTTCCATACTTCCTGCTGAGCCAATACAATTTACGCTACAACTATGCAATTTGTACCAATATTTGTAGCTCTCTGAATTCTTAGATTTTAAATCTTCATGTAGTTGACATTGCTTACAAAGTCTACTCATTGGCTCAAAATCTAACACTTTTCCATTATCCATCGACAATGTTGTCACAACTCTGTTCAGTGAACCGTATCCACTACGTTGCCAAGTTTCATCAGTTGAAACTCCAGTATCAATAATGTTGCTGCTATTACCTTTTATTTTTTTTTTGCAGCCTCAAGCATTGTTTCTTTAGTAACTGTAGTAACAGCATCAGTAATAACCTTTACAGAACTATTGTAATTTTTTTTACTCATCGGACTTGGGAGGTTCATTAATGCAGAAAACTTTTCAAGTCCTGAATACCCTTGCCCAATTTATCTCATGCTATATACAATACGAAGATTAATATCATGAGTACAGTTTACAAACTTTATATATATATATATATATATATATATATATATATATATATATATATATATATATATATATATATATATATATATATATATATATATATATATATATATATATATGTATATATATATATAAAATTCTATATATATAAAGTAAAAATTAAGTATTTGTTTTTAAATTTTTATTTTCTTTCAATGACAGCTAGACACCTATGCCTTTGCAGAATGTTCTATTATCTGGTCCTTTTTAGTTTTTTCTTTTTGCGCTTCTTTGTAATTTATTTTATTTGACATCAGTATCCGGTCTTTCTTCCGCTGCTCGAAGTTTGAATTTTTTTTTTTGTATTTTTGTTGTTTTATATTTTTTTGTATTTTTGTTGTTTTATAATTTATTTTTTTTTTTTTTTGTATTCTTTATTTTACAGAATGGCTCCAGAGACACAATATCTTTTTTTACCTTATGTATTATTTGATACTGCTATTTTTAAAAGACCTTCATTGTTTACTTTGATGAGTTCTATTAAAGTAGGATGGCATTTTCCTTTAACAACTGATTCAATTATTTTCATTGCATGATCCGTTCTTCGATCTGCTAGTGCTTTAAAAACAAGTTCTTTAATTAATGGTGCAGCATGGGAATTTCGTGGTGTATGGGAAATGATTCTTGCAGCTTGTTTTTGAATTACGTCTAATTTTTTATATGGGTAATTTGGTATTGAAATTTTATATGGGTATTTGGTATTGAAATATAGAGTGAACTAATAAATTCCATATGACTTAGCACCATTCCGTTGTAGGCCAACTTTAATAATTTTTTTGGTAGGCTTGCTGATGCTCTTGCCAACATTCCCAGGGAAGAGTGGCATTTTTTTATTACCGACTCGATCTGCTGTTTAAAGGTCAGATGCTGGTCTAATGTTACTCCAAATAATTATACATTGTTTTCAGGCTTTATTGTTATTTCATCTAATAGAATTTGGTAGTCAGTATGTATTTACTTCCTGGGTGGTTTGAAAATAAATAATTGGGTCTTATCTGTGTTTATAGTCAATTTTATTTTTTCACAATAATCTTTTGTATCCTGGAACGATTTTTTTAATTTTCTGCAATTACTTGAAGTAATAGGTCAGCTTCAGTTATGGTTATATCGTCAGCAAACTGATATATTTCTGATTATAAAGAAGTTGGGAGTTCTCTTATGTAAGAGTTGAATAATTCTGGGCTGAGTCCACCTCCTTGTGGGACACTCTTAATGATTGGTTTGCATGAAATAAATTTTTTACCATTCTTAACCCTTTGTATTCTATTTTCGAGATAATTAGAAAACCATTGTTCTTCTTTGACTCCTATACCCATTTTGGACAGTTCATTTAAAAGTTCTTGATGTGGTACGCTATCGAAGGATTTGGATAAGTTTATTAATAGGGCACCTACATATTAGGTAAATACCTAATAACCTAATTATTAGGTTATTAGGTATTAGGCTAACAAAATAATAATAAACACCTACATAATAAAAACCTATAATAAAATAATAATAAACACCTAATAATAAACACTATAATAAAATAATAATAAACACCTACATAACAAAAAAATATAATAAAATAATAATAAACACCTACATAAGTAGGTAAAGCCTTCTTAATTTTAATACTGTAATTTAGTTTCACTTTCGTTTTTAACATAGTTCTAGGCTTTTCTTTACGCGGTTTTAGATTCCACGCGGTCTTTCGAGTAGAGTCTGCAGCTGATATATTTTTAGTTTAAAGAAGCATCGATGTTGTTCATTGTTTAAAAACTAAAATAAAATGTTAAATAATCGTTTGTTTGTTGTTGGGGCAGACTTTTAAACAATGCACCCCTATGAAATACTAATAATCGTGATCAAAACTGTCCCAATTCTTACGGTCAGTTAATGAATGTATATTTCGTTGTGTCAATCCCTAATGGTTAATCAAAGCATTAACATTTACTTCTATTTATCAATTATGATCAATTGATGTAATTACACTTTAATTGATTTAATTAATTAATTTTACTAGATCAGTAAAATATTATTTTTGATAAAACGTGTTTTAAACTTAGGGGGAAGCGCCGTTTACAAGCCCGCCGTTGTTGGTTGTTTTTATTTTTTTAATTTTTATAGCCTGTTTGCTTTTTTTAGAAGAAGTTAGAACTAAAATGGCTGTAGTTTAGTTTTTTTAGTACAATGTTTTTTTTTTGTACAATGTTTCTCTTTTAGTAAAGTGTTTCAGTTTTGTCTTACATACATATATATTATATACATACATATATATGCATATATATATATACATACAGGGCCGGCGCGAGTAGGTGTCACGTGGGGGGTTGCCATTACAACTTTTGCTGACTTAAAAAAAAAAAAAAAAAAAAAAGGTCCTCGTTTTCCAAAATTTGCCGACTGTCATTACGACATTGGCCGACTGTCTAACCTATATCGAAAGGGTCGACATTTGCCGGCTAACTAGTCTAAAAAGGTCCGATTTGCCGACTAAGGGTCCAGTTTGCCGACTAAAAATCATTGATGGGGGGGTGTCACACCCCTACACCCCCCTATCGCGCCGGCCTTGTATGCATATATATGTATGTATATAAACTTTTACCAAAGATATATTATACATACATATATATATATATATATATATATATATATATATATATATATATATATATATATATATATATATATATATATATATATATATATATATATATATATATATATATATATATATATATATATATATATATATTTGTTTATGTACAGGAAGTATCTGCAGAATTTTTATTTCCTCAACAAAACTCCAGCTGTCAGAATGAAAATATCCAGCACGTTCGATATGTTGATAGTAGTGTACAAACAGATTTAAAAACTATGCGGATGTTGCAACCCAAACAGAGATATATTTAATCAATGAAGACATTATTAATTACATTGAATCCACAGGTGTAGCCCTTAAAAGTGCAGAACTATATAATATGGGAATTGAGATGACTAGCAACAGTGAAGCATTCTTAGACGATGTGATTTAATCTGAAGAAAGTATTTCTGACTCTCAAACGTCTTCTCTGAAAAATAACAAAGAAGACACTGATTAAGTTCCATCAGCATCAGGCGATGATAGTTGTATGAGTGACGAAAATGAAGGAAAAAGTTGTGGTATACAATAAAATGATTGCACACAATTTATTTTTGAAAAACTTGTTCGAACTTTTATGCCGCTGTCCAGAATGCGGTGCTCCTGTTGATCGCTTAAACATTGAGGAAATTAAAGGTAATCAATTGCAGCTACATGTAAAAATAAATTTTTTTAATAATTGTAAAGTTGAATGGCAATCTCAACCGACAGTTGGTCATTTTTAAGGGCTCGGAAATATACATTTGTCAACATCAATTGCATTTTCACATAGATGAGT